CAGTCTATTGGTGGGGAGCTTCACCTGCTGCTGAATCAGATGAATAAACTTTAAGTAATGTGACTGGGGCCAGTCAGTTCGATGGTGATCTCTCAGGGCCGTCACGCTTTCCAAAAAGAACAAAACTCGTGTCTTTCAATCGGGAGGTGTGACTACCGTCTTCCCTCGAACACAACGCACCCTGATAATGAATGTATACAGACTATCTTTCCGTCCCGATGCAGTCAAAATGATGGTGTGTTTTGTTCGGGGGAAGACGGTAGGTACCGTTTGACTAACGACCAACTATTAGTACTGGTCTATTTTTGGGTGAAATTTATCCAGTCCCGGCACCCAGCTTGCGTCTATACCCAAACCCTGTCGAACTTAAAGGTAATACCCTACTTCCCTGTGCGCCAACTTACATGTGTACCCAGTCCCACAGGCCCTTGGTAGGGGAGCACAAAATTATGCTTATGCCCAGGAACGGGCCAGGGAAAATTGGGAATGCACATAATTTGTCCGCGTATGAGCGTAATTCGAGAATTCTGGTAGTCGAATTCTCGAATTACGCACATACGCGGACAAATTATTTCCCAAAAAAAAAAAAGAATTCTGGTAGTTGGGTATAACTGCAATTTGGTTGTACCAGCCTTGGCCCACGACGGTCCTGGGCATGCAGATAGTTTTCATAGACCATTTCACGGGTACAGATGCCAGTTGGGCACTGGGATTCGGTGTAGCGGGGTATTCCCATCTTTACATGGGTACATATGCAATTTTCCCTTTTCTTTCCCTTTTTTCCCCCTTTCTCCCCCACACCCCTCTTTTTCTTTTTTTGGACAAGTTTGAATAAGCCCCGCCTTTTCCCCCGTAATAAGTGATTGTAAGCCCGCAAAGGGCTTCAGACATGTGCGACCTTGTGGGAATGCCACACTGCGGGGTGGGCCAAGTTGTTAGTATGCCCCCCACTTGTGGGTGGGCGCCCCGATTGCTTAGGAGGCCCGCGCAGGCCTTTCTCCAAACCCGAAGTGCCCCACTCGGGCCATTGTTTTTTCATCTAGAAAGGGGCTTATTTGCAATTTCGCAGGGCCCCGCCCGAAACTCATTTCTCAAATTGCCCTTTTGTGGACTAAGTCACCATTTCCGGAAGACAGAGGGGCCCATTTACAATTTCTCCTTTTCCTTTATCCCCCAATATAACTCTACGGACCAGGATTTGAACACATGACGGAGCCCTGCGAGGCAGACTAGAGATAGACAGAAATCTGGCGGCCAGGAGGGGGACTGAAGAGGTGTTTTTTTTTTTTTCTTTTTTTTTTTTTACTTGTCCAAGGATAAAGTTTTTTTCAACATTTTTGCACCTCCATGTATATTGTTGATCAACTGGGCCGAGGTCCCACTAGCAAAAAGGATAGGATCGAGCTCCTGAATCTGGATGTGTTTTATGCAGAGATGCAGAAAAGTAGTTCAATCTTGATTTCCTGCACATCTCCATAATGGCATAACCTCGTCCAGATTCAGGCATTCGATCCGATCCTCTTTGCTAGTGGGACCACGCCCCTGTTCCTTTGGAAGAAGGGAAGGAAGCTGTTCCCCCAGTTGTCAGCAGGTATTTGCTGGCCGGCTGCTAATTAGTAATGAATACATAAGAAAGGCTCAAGACAGAGCAACGGACCTACAGATCAATGGTCACTCGCCCACTAGACTTCGGGCTGTGTAAGAGAATCTACTTTTTTAAGGTTTTTTTTTTTTTTTTTTTTTTTTTTTTTTTTTTTTTTTTTTTTTTTTTTTTTTTTTTTTTTTTTTTTTTTTTTTTTTTTTTACTAGAGAACTGCGGACATCTACTAGAGGGGGGGTGATATGAGCAACATTTTCGGTGCCATCTTAACCCGAAAACAAGGTGCGTACCTTGTACTCAAGTTGCCTCTGAAAAATGAGTTCTGAGAAATCCCTGTTAAATTTTCGAATAGAAGGTACTCTAGAATACAACGTACCTACCTCGGATTCAAATACAAGGTACATACGTTGTATTCGAGGTGTGCCTGTAAGGGTGTTTTTTTTTTCCTTTTTTTTTAGCTGCACACTACCATCAGCAGAGGACAGGTATGGATCTGATATGAGCACCCTCAATGGGAGGGCCCCCGAATGGTTGCCATCTATTGCTGGGAAGCTACACCTGCTGGAAATGGGGTCCAGCGGTCCCCGGCAGACCTACTTACCATGACACAGGTGCGGGGTTCCCTCTCATATTATTACTAATATTTACTATATTTTATTTTATTTTGTTTTGTTTTCCCCCTTGCCTTAGGAAAGTTGCACCCTAAAATTCGTTCTACAAGGTATCACGTACCTTGTATTTGAATATACAAGGTACCCCCCGTACCTTGAACTCATATACAAGGTACATACCTTGTTTTTGGGTTAAGACAGTAGTAGACCTTCGGTTGCTCCGTCTATTGGTGGGAAGCTGCACCTGCTGGAAATCGGGTCCAGCATCCCCTTACAGAACTATCACTGGAAGAATTCACAAACACTTGGTAAGTATTTTGCTCCCGCCAGCATTGATTGCCCTGGAACTGTCACTGGAAGGTTTCACAAACAATTAAACCACCAGTACTTGGCCCAGCTATCGGCCGCAGGAAAAAATAGACTAGAAACATTTCTAGTCGGATGAATTTGGTCGCTCCTGTAGTGGCCCATACGTTTCCTAAAATCGTGGTGCGTTAACGGGCATGACTCTAGGAAGTACTGGTGGTTTAAGTATTTTGGTCCCGCCAGCAGTGATTGCCCTGGATCTTCCTGGGGATTCACTGCGTGGGCCGCGGCATGTGTAAAAATCTAAGCTTACTATGATCTGCCAATTGTTCGATGTGTGCATCATTCAGCCAAAACGGCATGTGTGCTACGAAATCCAGAAAATCGGGGGCAAGGTCGCACTTGCTTGGATTCATTCACAAGCCTCAAGGATATACGGACTTTATATCTAATCTTTGGTGCAATTGCAGGAGTAATGGGCCCATTGTTTCTCTGCACTAATTGGCATGGAATTAGCACAGCCAGAAAACCAAATTATTGTTCTTGGTGGAAATCCTGGACTTAAAAAAGGTGATAACTTAATAACAGCTCACACTTTCTTAATGATCTGGGCACCGCTGTGCTAGATGTTTGACAGAACGGGCAAATGTTCGTAGGCAAATGTTCGTAGGCAAATGTTCTCAAAGCCTCGTTCAGGAAGAAGTCCATCAAAATCTCCGCAATCTATCAAAATCTTCGCAATCTACTGTACACTCCGGGCAATTTATTCCTGGCCCACCGTCTTCACCCGAATAGAACGCCGGGTCATTATAGCTGAATTTGGTGCAATTTTCAGTCTAGATACAGCGATAATGACCGCGCTAAATTCAGATGAAGACGGATCTCTGTAATCTAGGGTTAGACAGGGAACTAATGATAGAGTAGTGGCAATTTATTCCTGGGCATCGATCGCCGAGTCCGTACCCTACGGTCAGATATGGGCACTCATACCCCTTCCATGCCCGAATTGTTCCACCACACGGGGGTGCATCTATGTGTCGTCTAGGCAGGCAGGCAGGGGTTGGTAAGTTTTCCTTTTCTTTTTTTTTTTATTCTCTTTTTTTTTTTTTTTTTTTTTTTTTTTTGGATCAGATATTAAACTGATCAGAACAGATACGACACTTGATCTTAGCCAAAAGGCTGAGAAAGGTATAAGTTTTCCTTTTCCGATTCAATGGGCATCAGAGGGTAAGGTTCCATTTTATTCTGGTTTAGAGTTGGGTAGGTTTCTTTTTGCAGGATGCTTATTAAGGTGTAAAAAAAACAGGACCATCAGTTGTGGGACCATAATTTGCTTGTAGTTAGCATAAGGAGGGTAGGAAGCAAACTTGAACCATATCCAAGGAGCGATCTTGGTTCAGTGAATGTTGTTGCTATTGAAGACCCAGGGGTGAGTGGTGGCCTCTGGTGGGAAACCCGTCTAGGCAGGCGGTTCAGGCTTCTTTGAGATTACATTTCTTTGGGGCAAAAGTGGGCCGAAACCAGATTTCTGTGGGGACGCTGGACCCAGTTTCCAGCAAGCTGAAGCTGGGTGATTGCCCCAGTACAGTACACACCGGGTAGAATTGTGAGGTCCTCGGCCTCGAGTGGAATTTTACTGCGTTAACTGTGTGAAAAAAAAAAGAAGAAAGAAAAAAAAGGTTTCTTTTTGCTTCGAGTGGGTAGGGGCGCGCAAAGAAAAGCCCTCCAAAATTCGGGTGGCTATGCGTGGGTAAAAAATCTTCCTGCTCGACATAAGGTGGGAAGGAAAAGGGTCATATTAGAATGATGAGAGCTCAAACTTCGAAGTAGGTCAAATTATCTATGATTAGATTATTATTAAAAAGTTTAAAAAGATTAGCAGTGGTAATTAAGTCTGAGTCGGTCTTAGGAGTTTTTCTATCCTAAGTTCCTAACAAAATGCACCTGAGCATCAAGAGATCCAGGTACAGGTCATGCATCTGAAGCCGCTTTATAGCCACTTACAGTCTGACAGAGCTAGTCTCTCGATTTTCTTTCCTTTCTCGTTGAAGAGCAATTCTTGTCCTTTGTACTTTTGCATTCGTTCGGGATGAGTGTTGGTCCGCCCAACCAACAATACGGTTGCATCCTTTCAAAAAAAAAAAAAAAAAACATAACACAGGTCCTTATGGCCCTGGCTCCATTTACATTCTGGGGAGCATCAGTCCGGTTCCTTTTCCACCGGCAAGTCAGAATAAAATAATACATCATGAAACACACTCACGCTTCACACTTTCTTCATACTTTGATTCCTAAGACTCCATAAATTATATGAGCAGGATAATGACAATAATGAATATTAGCTCTCAGCATTTGAAGAGGCAATCTACCTTTTTGTATCCACTCGCTGCGGGCAATTTCAGCACCAAACGCCCTGCAGAATGAACCCTGGCCAGCATTGATTACTCCAGCATCGTGGAGTATCGACTCTCAGCTTGCCTTACTTCCACCTTTCCTCTCAGGTCCACTGGCAGTGCGTGAACCTGTCACATAAATGATAAAGAGCAAGAAAAAGGTAAAAGAAGCTACGGAAGATGCAAAATCTCAGAATTTGCCCTTCAATATTACGTGGCCTGCGATGGGTCTTGTCCATCTGCTGGCTGGGATTCCTGCCTTCTCCACCCTGCTTCTGATTTGTGTGTGCCAGTCTTTCCACCGTATGTGACAGGCATTTATCTCTGCTACTTTGCCCCCTGCGAGCCACACCTTAGTGCATTTTTCCTTCATTCTTCTCTGTTGCTCTTCGTTATCTGGTATGGACTGTCTCGTCTTATGCCCCTTCCAAAGAATCTCTGCCTCAATCAACCTCAATCAAGGTCCTTGTCTCCGCCCATACCAGACCAAAATGACTGGCAGCACCGGCCAACATGGAAAAAAAGGGCACCGCGCCGCGTCGTTTTTTTTTTTTTTTTGGCACGTAGCAGCGTCGTGTCATCGGGCAACTTTTGAGTTAGAAATGATTCGAATTAGAATCCATGAATCTTGGGGGGGCGAAGAACAATTTTCGGTATACATGTCGAAATGACCCTCAACCAAATGCTAGCGTGTAACATCCATAAAGGGAAGGTCTTTCTTTTTTCTTTCTGAAAAAAAAAAAAAAAAAAAAACGCAAAGGCCCCTTTTATTCTCGGGGACAACCATATGCTAGCGTGTAACATCCATGAATGGAAGGTCTTTCTTTCTTTCTTTCTTTTTTTTTTTTTTTTTTTTTTTTTTGACCATGCTAATCTTCTCTGTATCATTCCAATTTTAATGGATGTCCCGAAGGACTGATGGAAGGTCTTTCTACCTTTCTTTTCTATCCGAAAGAAAAAATTTCAGACGCAGATCATTCAATCTAACACAACAAGGTGCTTTGTGGAACGATGCCTGATTCTTCTTTTCTTATCTTCTTTTCACCGGTTGACAGACATCAGATGCGACACAAGAGGACATCAAAAAGGCGTATTACCAAGTTATGAAGGTCTGTCATCCCGATTTGAGTGGGGACCACCCGGAGGTAGTTGCCTTCTGCAAGTTCATCAACGAAGTGTATGAGGTATGTGGCACTTTCCATTCTTTGGATTGCTCCCGCTTTTAAATCGAGTGCTCCAACTGCGGTAGATTGTCTACATCACCACAAAGTGAAGCACAAAGTGAAATGTAAAACGTTACAAAAAGCCCACCCGAGGGAAAGAAAAAGAGGGAGAGAAAGTGAAAAACCATGGACTTCCTAAAGGACCTGAAGTTCTAAACCCTTTTTTCTTTCTTTTTTTTTTTAACTTTCAATTGACAAGTACATCGCCTTCAGAACAGAGGTTTTTAGACTTCACACTCTTTTTCAGAGATCATTTATTATACCCGTCTATGCTTGAGGATCTGTGTTGTCTAGCGCTGGAAGTGCTTATGGAGGTCCGTAGACTCCGTACAGAAATGTCCTCCCGTCTCGAAACATCGAAATTTCCTCTTTCCCACATGTCTCCACAATTACCATCAATGGCATCACTCGAATGGTTTTTTTTTTTTTCGTAACCTCATTCCTCATTTCTCAAATTTCTTCCCATCTGTCACTTCCATCACGTTTTCCCCTTCCCTTCTTTTTCTCCATAATGACCATGGGCATCATCATCATCATCATCATCATCATTAGTAGTTACACACAGTAGAGTCAGTACTCTCTTCCTTTATCTTACATTTCTGTTTGTTTCCTCCTACCATCACAATCATTCTTCTTCTTCTTCTTCTTCTTCTTCTTCTTCTTCTTCTTCTTCGTCCTCTTCTTCTTCTTCTTCGTCGTCCTCTTCTTCTTCTTCTTCTTCTTCTTCTTCATCTTCTTCTTCTTCTTCTTCTTCGTCCTCTTCTCTTCCTTTCGTCCTCTTCTCTTCCTTTTCTTCTTCTTCGTCCTCTTCTCTTCCTCTTCCTCTTTCTCTTCCTCTTCTTCTTCTTCTTCTTCTTCTTCTTCTTCTTCTTTGTTGCCATTCGCCTGCCCTTCAATCTCCTCCTTCCACTCATACCTCTCACTTTAGCATGACTCAACACTCTCTCACAACAGCTCTCTTGAGAGCTGGCCACACCAAAGCAAGAAACTCAACCTGCATGAGCGCCTGAACCCGAAAATTGCTGCACTCGCTTAGAAACTCAACCAAATAGTTTTCCTCTCACTTCTTGAATACCTTCCAGTGGATACATGCCATGACTATTTGGAGCTGGAGGTGCTTTCAAGAATGTGCTAACTTCTAGTCCACCACCACCTATTCCTCCTTGTCATCTCAGTTTCATGACGTGCACGCAGCGCGCGCGCGCGCGCGCGCGAGAGAGAGAGAGAGAGAGAGAGAGAGAGAGAGGAAACTCTCCCGCTCTTGTGGATCTCATTCTGCTCCGTGTGTCTGGGGTTGCGTATGATGCACTTGCGTTAAGGATCTTTCTAGCTGTCCTCCTTTTGAGTCTTGACGGACAGGAACAAGAGTCATTTGAAGTTTTTGAACTCATTTCCTTGTTTTTAGTATTTCTTACCCTTTTTTTTTAACCCTTTTCTTAAACCACCACTACCTTTCACAGGCAAACGCGAAGTCCATCTAGTAGCCTACTCCTTAAAACACGGGGCTCGGGGCAGGGTTGGAGACCGACGAAATAAAAAAGAAGAAAAGAAGAAAAAAAAGAAAAAAAACGAAAGTTTCAAATCCAGGGACTTTGGGGAAGGCCCTCACGAAGGTGGAAGTTGCAGAGGCCTTTGATGAATGTATCTGGCCACTATGTGGGGAAGGGGCTTGCTTTTTTGTTTTGTTTTGATTCTGTTTCCCATGTCGTCTTAGTGCCCTGCCAGCCAGGCAGGGCGTATTTCACGGGTGGCACATAACTGTCTCAATGCTGTAGCATCTGTATCCACCCTCAATTGCAGCATAAGGGAGCTTTTTTTTGTTTTGTTTTATTTTGCTTTGTGTCCCCTACACGCCCTCACTGAGGGCACAGTCACATGAGCACCCCATAGAATGTATCTGGCCGTTATCGAGGAGTTCAGGATGTTTTTTTCTTTTTCTTTTTCTTCTTTTTTTTTCCCCCTTGTTCCTTCTTGGCTGAAACTG